CCCCAAAACCCCAAAACCCCAAAACCCCAAAACCCCAAACATTTATTCTGATGTTGAAATTAGACAAGTCAAATTAAAAATAATTTCATTCAAATCTTAAGATCGAAGATCAATGACCATTTTTTCAATGTCAACATATTTCTTTAATTTTTGTTTTGTTTCTTCAGTATTTCCCCATCCATAAATATAAATCTTGTTTAAATTCTCAAGGAAGCCATTAGACTGAGATAATCCTTGAATCAAGTGTTCGAATCCATAGTCATTGTCCCCATAAACATTTCGATCCAATGTTAACTCCTTTATGTTTGATCCTTCGAGTGAACTTCCAAACGTAGGCACAGAATCAAGAGTAAGAATTCACCACTTGAACTTTAAAGAGTGGACACATTCAGACTCTTTAAAAATAGTTATCATTTGGTCTTGGGTTAACTTCCAACTGTCAATTACTAACTCTTGAGTGACTCTGTTGATCAGGTTGATTAGTGAATTAAAGTAGTAGTTAATTCGAAGTTTGTGACCATATACACAGGATAATTTAAAGTGTCTACAGTTTTCAGGAAAATAATTGGTTAAAAAGTTGCAGAAAATCTCACATTTTTCTTCATGAACCTTCAGTTCTAGTGTCTCAAACTCACATGGCCTTGATTTAATTAATGAAAGAACTTTTATATTCTTCTTCATGTCTAATTTAACAGTAATTTTATTCTGTGAGGATATTGAAATCAGATCTTTTCATCTTGGATCTGAAGCGAATTCTCAGAATTCTTCCAAATTAGAAAGGTCATATTCCGAAAGCAGCAGATCATTTAAAACTCATAGCTTTAATTTATCATGGTTTTTCTTTATTAAATATTCAGAAAGCGATTTATAATTGAATTGGTCGAAATATATTTTTCTTTGTTTGTAAACTGCTTCCTCAGCTTCATCAATTAGATCTTTGATTTCTTCTTTGGTATATTTTTCGGTTGGGACATCTTCCTCCGGTGTTTCTGGGTTATCTGGCTCAGAATTTTTGGAAGGTTGAGTCTTGCATTCCTCTTTCTCACTAAATCCAGACAAATTTTTAGATTTTGATCAAAGAGAAGAATGATTAATATTTTCATCTCCACTAATGATTCTTGAATTGTTACTAGATGTCTTTATTGAAGAACAAGAACCGTCTGAATATATGAATTCTGGACTATTTTTATCGTTCAGTACTTTGGAAATTTGATGATCTTTGATATCATCAGAATTATTTTCATTTAGTTGAAAATTTCTTATGGGTTCTTGGTTTAAATCTTTTTCTATTCTAATTTTTATAGAATTATTATCTTCATGAAGCTTTGCCTTTATTGTAGAATCAGAGGGATTAGAAGATGGTTGAAATAGTTCTTCATCTAAATATTGATATTTATTTGTGCATGTATTTTTAGATTTGTTTTGACAATTTAGTATCATTTGCATGTTTGGTCCAGCATCCGAACAACAATCATTCTTGTTTTTGGGTGTAGAAATGGTGTCTATATTGATTTCAATATTTTTGAAGTTAGATTCGAATTCTTTACTACAAATATATCATTATGAACAAAATCTTTGTTTAAATAATCTATAATTTCTTTGGCTTTTAAGTCAACTTGTTTCTTCCTCCAGCATTTAGGAAACTTGTTTTCCATGATATCTTCGAGAATCTCTATTTTTAATAAATTTTGAATAAACTTAGAATTATCTTCATAGCCACTCAAAGTTGGGATCCAATAATTATCTTTTGTTTCAAAATCACAATCGTAAAATTTTTGGCTTGAACTGAATAGAAATTTCACAATATCATCTAAACCTCTCTCTTTTCTGAAAGATTCATTTCATCCGATTCAATTCGTCAATATTTCGTTTTGAAGGAGCGCAAACTGTTTAAACTGTAACAGAGACTCTGGCGGGTTTGGTTTGATTATTGAATCTTCAAGTTTCAAACTTAGCGTATTATAGCTTCTGTCTAATTCTTTGAAAACATTTCTTTTGAGGCGATGCAATATTTCTAATGTCTGTCTGAGATCTAGTTTGAAAAGTGAAACATATTTAGTATACAACAGATAAGAAATATGAAATTTATGCCTGAGTCAGACTTGAATTCCTAGTTCAGGAAGATAGTAGAAGGGTTTTGTAGCTCATTTTTCATAATGTTGGCAACTGGAAGCTTCGATATTTACATCAATTATAGGTTCCCTGGTTTTCCTTTGTTATAGAGCAAGCACTTTTTAATTGATTAACTTTTATCTCTTCGGAGACATATCTTAAGATAGAATTTGAGTTTATTTTCAAGTATCTACAATAAGATTCAAGAATTGCCTTTATCTCAGTGAAGTCAAAGATTTTAAAAAAGTCAATTTCTCAAACATCAGCATTACGAATAGAAATATCAATATCTGCTAAATAATTATTTTCGTGTTCATTAGCCTTTTTTATTGAAAATTTGCTATTACTAAAAGGCATATCTCGATCTTTCTCAGCATGTATAATATGAATTGTACCTTTGGAAAGATTAAAATTTAGAAATGGTTCCTTCTTTTTGTAAACTCACTCGATTAAATAATACGACTTAAAAATTCAAGATCTAATCTCCTCTTGAGTTGAGAGATGAATGTTTTCTTTTGTCTCTTCTGTTGATATCAAATTTTCTCCAAAATAGAATTTCCCAATATTATCATTGGAAACTGATAGAAGTTCAAATAGTATTTTTGGATCTCAATATCTAAATAGATGATAAGAATTTAAATAAATACCTTTCTTTTCAATAAATTTTTTCAACTCCTGACATTAACAATTTCTCATATTCATGTCCCATTATTGATCACACTTCATCCTCTCATTCCAAATGAAAATCTATCCATTCTCTACATTTCATTAATAAAGACTTAAATGTCTTCTTAAGATACCCATTTAGGAAGCTATAAAGCCTCCGATTAAACTGATCTTTCTCACTTTCCTCCTTCTGAGCAAAGACTTGTTCAAAAATTTTCTGTGCAATCTCTATAAATTGCATATCCTCATCAGTTATTGCAAACAAATCTATCTTATCATATCGGCTTTTTCTTCATTCAGTCGTCTCTATTTTTAGATCTCAATGCCAGATACAATAACACTCTCTCTCATCCTGATCAGGTTTACGGCGAATAGGTTTGCAAATGCATCCCTCTGTATATCAAATAATTTCTTGGGCTTCCATATTTTAATTATTATAAGATTCCCATATTTATCTTTTACCCTGGGGTTTTGGGGTTTTGGGGTTTTGGGGTTTTGGGGTTTTGGGG